ATCTGGTGTCCGCGACGAGGACATTTTGGTGCACAGTGTGTCCAAAGTAGTGAGAAAGAGCCTCGAGTTGTTGATAGTGCTATCGGAACGATTTTGTGTGTTACTCAGTGTTCTCGTTAACGAGTGCAGGAGAGTGTTCCGATATACTGAGTTAGGCAGATATTTTTTGCACGCGGCAAGGTTTCATTTGCGAGACACATGGATCTTGAAAAGTTAGTCGCTCTTGGTGAGAAGATGGGTCTTTCTGGCGCTGAACTACGGAAGTGGGTCACCCAGAAGGAAAAAGAAGAAAAAGAGAGAGCCAAGGAAGAAAAAGCAGCTGAGTTTGAGAGAGAGAGGATAGCAGCTGAGAGAGCGAAAGAAGAAAGAGAGCAGCAATTGAAGTTGGAGCTGGAGAGAGAAAAGTTGGCAGCTAAAAGGGCGAGAGAAGAAAGGGAGGCAAAGGAGCGACAGCTGAAAGAAGAAAGAGAAGCGGAGATGGCTGAAAGGGAACGGCAGCGGCAGCACGAGATGGAACTCGAGCGGCTCCGTTTGCAACAGCGAACTGAAACTCCCGTCCAAGCTAGAGTTGAAAGCAGCGAACGGGAAGATCATGGCTTCCGCTTGAACCCAAGCAAGCTGCTCGTAGCGTTTGATGAAAGGAAGGACGACCTTGACGCGTACCTTCACAGATTTGAGACGATTGCGAAGAGCCAGAATTGGCCGGAACATCCATGGGCAACTGCTTTGAGTACTTGCTTGAGTGGTGAAGTGCTCAGTGTGTACGGTAGGCTGACGCCGACCGATGCAGCCAACTATGCAAAGGTGAAAACTGCTTTACTGAAGCGATTTAGATTTACTGTGGAAGGATTCCGGGACAGATTTCGGACAGGAAAGCCAGCTGATGGTGAGACGGCTACGCAGTATGTCGCCCGACTTTGCCATTATATCTGATAGATGGATTGAACTTTCAGGGACAGCGCAGGAGTACGATGAGCTTAGAGAGCTCCTAATTAGAGAACAATTTCTTACTAGTTGCCACCCAAGCCTGTCGCTGTACTTGAAAGAGAGGAAGGCTGAATCACTTGGAGGCATGCTCGAATTGGCTGATCAATTCTTGGAAGCGCAAGGTGGAACTAATTTGGCCAGGGTCAAGAAGGAGTGTCCTGAAAATTCGAAGAAATTGGCTCCCGAAGAAAAGAAGCGTGCACCGGAGAGCATTCCGCGATGTTTTCTGTGTAACCGAGTGGGTCACCGTGCTAAAAACTGCCGAAATAACTTCACGAGCCCCACGGTTGTAAAATGTTTCAAGTGTGGTCAGACTGGGCACAAAGCAGACGCATGTCGAAACAGAGCGAGTCAAACTCACCAGGTGTCCTGTGTGCTAGCAGCACCAAAACCGATGATAATGCCGTCACCGACGGATTCATAGAGTTGAAAATGGGGAGAAAATTCCAATTGTGGGTGCTGTAATGGCAAAACAGCCAACCGGTGTTACGAAGGGAATGTCAACGCTGCCTGGAAAAGTTGCGGGCAAGAAGGTTACGGTGTTAAGAGATACCCGCAGCTCCACTCTTATCGTGCGGAGAAATTTGGTAGGGGGAAGAGAGTTAACAGGCAAAACTAAACCAGTTTCCCAATGGACAGTACGGTTCGGATGCTTCCCGAGGCAGAGATTGAGGTGGAAACCCCGTACTTCAGCGCGAAGGTTACCGCTCTGTGTATGACGACCCCCCTGTACGACCTTGTCATCGGAAACATCGACGGGGCGCGAGGACCGAATGATCCGGAATGTTTGGGAGAAGACCCTAAGATAGGGCCCTCGCCAACCCAGCGACCGCGAGATACAGTGGAGGAGCATCCCGCGACGGATCTCACTAGAGCCCAAGGTGAAGCCGCGGCGCAAGAGACAGCGAATGAGAAGATGATCGTGTTGAATGAGTTCACGTGCTGGGCAGCTGGACGTACGTCGGCCCGACCTCAACCGACAGACAGTGTAAAGGTGACGGAGTCGGCCAGCCAGGCCCAATGTCGGGACATGAACAAGCGGGTGACAGGATCAGTTGAGCGTTATCACCCGTTAACAGTGTCAGAAGTGACAACGATGGCTGAGACGCCGCCTCAGATACCGTCGTTGGAAAGGGCTCGCCGAAAAAGAACGTGGAAAGACAAAAAGAGATCGAGCGAGCACCGCAAGAAAGGGTGCAAGCGCCGTTCTAAATGCACAGGATAAGTGTTGAGGTCGAACCGGAATGTGTTTGACAGTGCTATATGTTAAGTTAATGTGGTTGTTGTCCTGTGTCACAACTGTATGTCGAGCGAGTCAAAATGTTTGTTACGGTGACGTGATGCATAGTATTGTACAATCGTTGTAATGAGAGAACTTTGTACATTTATATTGTTTGGAATATGTGATGTAGTGTTGCATTTATGTACCTGTAGCTATATTTAATGTGTTGTGAAATTGAATTACAATGTACAGTTGTATTGAGTGATCTATTGTGAATGTGAAGTGTCATGAGCGACGGATTGTGTTACAGTCTGTGAGAGTGTGTGGTGACTGTTCGCGCTCGTTTGTGTGGTTTTGAATATTATGAGATAATATTCTTAAAGTGGGGGGCAGTGTCACAGAGCGAGCGCTCAAAAAGAGCGCGCCGCCAACTCCTCCCGACGAACCGCCGGAGTGACGCCACGAGGTCGATGATAAAAAAAAGAAGAAAACAAACATCTAAAGACTCCCCCAGGCACGCGACTCTCTCCTCGGAAGCGTGGGTTCGCCGACGAACGTCCTCTCATCGGCGCCCGAGCAAGCACTCGAACTTTCTAGATGGAAAGGGGCGTGGAGATGCCGGGTTGAGTCATCCGTCGCGGACGGCCCTCGTATCGTCTCGACCTTTCCCCCAGCCTTCGCTGCGCATCGCGCCGATGAAATGATGAGAACTTTCTGGAATCTCCGCGCGGAAGGTATTTAATCGAGCAGCCAAGACGAGAGATCAGGAGAAGACGGAAGTTAGCGCCAGAGCACGTAGGGATTCCGCCGTGTAGTCGGAGAAGGTTTTGTCCGTGGAGACAAAGCAGGAGAAGAAGATTTCCGCCTGAGGGGTGACGACTCGAGCTACAGGCAAGAGTGTGTGTTTACCGCTATCGAGCGAAGACGCGTGGCAACAGCTGCGTGTGTGAAGCCGACGTGTTTCCGGCGAAAAAGTTTGAAATTGGAGAGGGGCCTATTGAAGACGTGAGGTTTTCTGGAAGAGAAACTTCGGGGCAGCGGAACGACAACAACGCTGGACTTTGAGTGAGTGATTCTCAGAAGAGTATCATCCAGACTTTTGTTCCAAGAACTTTGGACTGAATAGGTTTTCTATCTCTTTAGTCTTTAAGTGTCTTGGTTGTTCAGTGCATGCGACTGTATTGCAGTGCGTATTGTTGTCAGTGTCCGTTGTTTTGAGTGTGGCTGATTGTACTGCGTAGTACGTTGTTTGATTGGTGACATATTGTACTCAACTATTGTGGAGTGTGCATACTTGTGTATTGTTTTGATCTGCCATTATTGAGAATATAATTTTGTTTGTTTATCAACTCTCGGCTCTGACTTGTTCTTTGGGCCACAGCCGGCGTCCGCTGGCGCGCCAAGAAGGACCACTTCTAAATTGTCCACGCTTTCATGGTGCGGTTCGGGGAGCCGGTACTTCGGCCCTTGGAATTAGCCCGGCGATCGCCTCCCTAATTAACGGGACTGTGTGACAGATGCCCTTGGCAATATGTTTTTGACAATTTTCTTTCAAATTTTTGTGACCATAGAAATTTGACCATGCTTATACTTTGAAAATCTTAATGACACAGCGTGAAGGAGCCTTAGTGGCAGAAAATGTGCTACCAAAATCGGTAGTGTTGTCAGTGGTGCAAGACATTGCACCACTGACAACACCACCGATGCAAGACGTTGCAGACAGGGCAAGACATTGCAAGTCAATTTTTTGTAAGACATTGAAAACGGGGCAATGAAGCTGTTTTCTCAAAATCTACTGCAGAAGTGGAGCGAGCCTTCTCTGTTGTGTTTCTCACAAACACCTAGTTAAGGAATGGATTGTTGCACGAAGTTGTTGCGATCAGGATCAAATTTCGACTATGTCTGAAAGATGTTACAAGCTCTAGATAAGCATGGTAAGAAAACTGCGCTAATGTTACTGCGAAATACGAAGTGCTTTGCTCCCTCTGCATTAACAGTGCTGCGGGACATGCTGGCAAAAGTGAACTCGATTATGTATACTCTTTACTGTCGGTGCAGTAGTAATCTCCTCCAGGAAGTAAGTCACCCGATCTTTTTTTCACTCCATTTTGTCGCGATAAACATAACTGTGTTGTATATTATTGCATTTTTAAGCGTCAGAATGTGGTGATACTTCAATTAAACTAAAATCATGTTTGGCTTCGATTTTCTGGCTCCAAAATAAAAAAAAGTAACGGCTGCCGCTTGGCCACTGTTATGGCTACTTTGGTTATTTTGCGGCTGTTTTTCTCTTATGAGATCTGGCAGCCCTGATGCTGAACGCTCTTGCAATGCCCTTTGGTCAGGAAATTGAGAATTTAGGTACAATTTTGAAGTGAATAATATATAATATAAACGTTTGCTGTGTCTGACTATTCGTATAGAGTGCCATTGAATCCAGAGGAAACCCACAAGAGACTTGTTATAGCATTGACACTTGATGTCACCACTCTTTTAGGGTATTTCATTCATCGGGGCCAGGACGTTTGATTATTCGCCGTGTTACGTTCATAGTGTTCTTTCATCGGGAATGCTTGAACCATGAGATGCTAAGTTACAGACATGCTCTTGAGATAAACGGAGATATTTGTAGTCCAATCAGTACCTAAATGTAGGTATTGTGCCTTTAACGTTTACGTATGTCGGAAATATATTGATGTCCAATATGTTCACGGCTAAAAATGTACAGTGATAATCAACGACCATATCAAAAGCTGAAAGAAAAGCCCCCACACGAAATAAGCAAGCTTACCTTACGGGAGCGTGCAGTTTCGTGGAATGGCTCCAACACGTACCTTGGTGGTATAGGTGCAATATTACGGAAAACAGTCAAAGCTACCGACAAAACTGACACAGCAGTGTAGTAACACACGTCCTCTTGAGTCCTCTGTGTGTATATTGTTTAGCTTATATTACACTGTGCAATGTGACACCGCTAGACTGACAATGCTGTACGTCAGAATATGCTACCTGAATGTGATACAAAAAAAACAGGAAAGTTCACTTGAGTTGAGCAATGACGTATTATGACAGCCAGGTTCACATTACGAAGGTCACTGACCCAGTGACAAATGATAAATCATCCTACTTCCATTTGTCACATAGGCGTATATACATATGCATAATCTCGCTTTCCCTAAATACGCTGCAATGAGCATTAATGAGTAATGAGTGGGAATAGCAATAAAGGACGTGTGTGTGTGTGTGTGTGTTGAGGGAAATAGGGGATTGGAAACACCAATTTAAATTTTACGAGTGACACAGGATCAGTTTCTTTCTTTTTTTTTGTTTGCTTTGCCGGGCAGCAGCAATCATTCAACCGCCTGAACAGAGCAGCTGCCATGAACGTAAGTCGGGCACCTCTGCTTTCCTGTCCCTGTAACACGCTCTACGCAGGCAGCGTGCACCGACGATCCGTACAGTACATTGCTCCCAAATTTGTAGAAATTAAAAAAAGGAGCCCGTAACATAGATTGGTATTAAACTTCATTCAAAAATGCGATAAATTACAAATGAAATATACAAGACAATTCTAGCTGTCCCATTTTTTTTTTCTGTTCGTGCCCTGCACCTGGGTTTATACGTTGCTTCAATCTAGGCTGACAGTCTTTTTTCAAAGATTTCATTGACAATTTTTATTGCGATATTGATTCTATGAACACTCTGGACAGGTTGTTGGCGTCGCCGTCCGGTTGCGTATAAAGTACACGTCCACAAATATTGAATCCTATTATGGATTGCGTGTTCTATGTGTGAGAGCAAAAGCACGTGAGTGTTGGGAATAAACGCGGCTAAGCATAGATGAAATGATCTCCGTCACACTGAAGGTGCGTGTGAAAGTATCACTTCGCATGCAAGGCCTATTGATGGGTCCTCAAACAAACCGGAAACATCACGTGTTTTCACACTTGAATGCAGTTTGGCACAGAGATATCACTCCAGCTACAAAGAAGTACATTGTAAACATGAAAAACTTGACTTTTCACTTCATTCACCATGACCAAATTTGATCGAGTACATCTTACAGGGTATAATATGTTTTTGCAAATACAATAGAATTCTTAATTAAAAAATACAGAAGTGGCACCCGTTTGTCTAAGTTCAAACATAAAACACAGTCAACACACCGCTTCATAGTTAGTCTTTTTTTGCCACCCAGTATTTGTGCACGCTCGCTTCACAGCCATCTTACTCCCGATCATCCTGACTACCCATGCACACAAGACAAACTAAGCCAACAGCCACCCGTCGTTAGGCCGTCGGTAGTTGCGAAACCCTTTCTTTATGCGCAAATCGTGACAGGGTATTAAGCCTGTGCAATTGTTGATCCGTGAACTCGAAGACTCGCAAATGTAAAGTTGGTGCCATGTGTTTCAAGTTCCTCGTCGTTCTGAAGCCGTTCCACTGATGAGGACTTCGCAGTCCATGAATCGGTGCTCACCGCCAGCGTAAGAGACAAAAACAGTGACTTGAGCGAAAGTTGAATCCTGCCACAAACCGTGCCGTGGTATAGTTGACGCAACCGATATACACCGGTTTGCCAGAGGAAGTGTGGTCTCGCTGAACTGAGTTACTGGGGACCATGTCTTCAGAACAGCGGGCCCAGCGGAGCAGTGTATCGTCAGAGACGAAAACCTGTAAGCCAGCATCAACTTTTAAGGGCGATGCAGAGGGCGAGGCTTATTCGGTGTTCACATAACAAGGCTACGTATGACAAGGCTATGGGTTAATAATCTGTTAACGTACGGTAATGTGAGATCCAATCAAGTTTTTAACAATAGACTAACATAAGTCAGAATAGTGACGTAACAATACTATGGCACCAGAGTGCTTTAAGCCAGGAACATTGAGCTGCCTCTGCAGAGGTGATGAGCTTCTCGGATGTGCACGTGAATATGCTGACTGTCTGTGTTGTATTACGTGTATAGTCGGTTCGAAAGTTGAGGCTTACTTGCCCGCTACTGCAAAAGGTTCAAGTGGATATTTATGAGGCGGCTTTACGACGACGGCTTTATTAAGTACGATCACAGCCTGTTGTCCGCTGCCACTCTAAAGTATCGCCAGCCCGATGTCGGCAACGGGAGTGGCAGCATGTTAGGTCAATCCTCGCGGAAGCAGGCACAGCTAAATGATCACAGACGTGTTTGGAAAACACAACAAGCTTTAATTTAGCAATATTGTCATACAAGGTACCTAGGAAGTGCACTTCAAGCAAACTAACAAACATATAAATCGATCAATGAGCTTACAGGACTCTGGTATTATAAGAATAACAACCAATAGATGATATTGATGCATCCCCACATGGAGACATTACACCCAGCACCTTCACCAGCGTCACACTGCAACGCGAACAAAACGCAGGTTCAGCTTGAGAGAGCGAAAATAGCGTTATTCTTTTTGTTTGTTTGCTTGTTTGTTTCTTTGTTCTTTTGTTTTTCCTACCATACATGACAAACACCCACTTTGGGCCATTGGCCAAGAAGCAACGTTGAGAATTTGAAATGGTATTTAAGAATGGTAGGTGATTAAAAGAAACAAAACAATGAAACGCCAATAATAAGTAATATAATAAATAACATTACAAGTACTATGCTATTGACCTTACCCGCATTAACCTGTTAGGAACAATTTTGAAGAAATTAGTGAGATTTGATCTTATTGATATATCAAAGACATTTAAATACCTGGTTCAAATGCTACTCGTTGGGTAGTTCTAATAAAATTACACATGATATCAAACACATATTTGTGACAGTATCCCAATCCTGAGGCACCGAAGCTTAAAACAATTTATTCAGTTAAGATTAGGCCTATTTTTCAATGCGCGAAGTAATCAAAAGTCTATTTCTAATATTATATAATCTTCAACATGACAAAAAGTAATGCACAATAATTTCTAATCCTCCACAGAATCGGCAGAGGGGTCAACCTTGTGCCAGTATAAGTTTAATGTGAGGACACGGCATCAAAATCTGGTGATTGTAACTTCCGATTGTCGAAATTGGCTCCAATGCGACTTGTACGGAAATTATAGGTGTTGATATTCTGTCCACGTTGTTATTGCTTCCATCCTATCAGCGTGAAAAGGTTCTCCTCTATATCTAATTGCGGGGAAGTATTCAACCACTGCAAGAACCTGAACTATTGGGACAAGTTTGTTCTCAACAACTAACCAGCAAGATCGTTTGAAATAAGAGCGCGATACGTAGACGCGAACAGGACAGACAGGAACAATAATTTAAATCAATCATTTTAGAAAGATCGTCTTTTTCGTCATCGAATAGCCAGAGGTCCACTACGTGAATCCCGCTAAATCTCCTCATTGTTGGTTTTGTCCACATGTGCACACGCGTCAATATTAACACAGACAGTAAATCAACCTTAAGAGCGGACATGAATCGAGCGAACACCTATACTAGCTTAAGCTGTGAAAGTTTGAAAGTATGAATACATGAAAGCATACGTGATAGTGACGGAAGCGGCGAGTCTTCGACGATTGGTTGCGAGATGTCACGGTGTTTTGGCAAGACTGGTACGTCGGTGGAGCTGCAGCGCTGATGTATCCGGTAACTAGTGCTTCAAGACATACAGGTTCAGCTAATTTGAAATCGAAGTTCTGATGGCCACACTTCACGTGTCTTAACTAGATGAACACCTTAGTTTAGGAGGCCAGTCGATAAAGAGACACACTAGAACTTTCATAAGGGATACTTGTTGCTCTGCTTCTACACCATGTTAGCAACTATATCACTTGGTAAGCGATACACGGCACTTAAATAACACTTCGTGTCCCCCGAGTTTCTGAAGAAAAAGGAACCTCCGCATAGGTCAAATCATGCTCGTTTCATTGTTACCAACTGCGTCCTAAAAGTATTTGCCACGCCTCTTTTCTAATTAGAGGAGTGTTCTTAGCTGAGTGAAAGTGACAACCTGTAAGGTTTATCGCACACTGCTTGCCCACCGGTAGCTTTTCGCGTCGCAATGGTCTGTTGCCTTGACTCTCTCAACCAGTACGTCTTGCTGTCTTGGTTCGACCGTTTTTGTATTTGTTCACGTGCATAAAATCATCATAAAATCATCGTCAGCATCATCTGATGCGTAATCGTTTCGGCATTACGTAAGCATTTGAGCATTTAAGCGTGTAAGTAAGCATTTAATGATTCGGGTTGTTTAGCGACACATAGTATTGGCTGTCTCCACACCGGGATATTAACCGTTACACGTTTTTATGTGCGCACCTTTACCAAAAATTCAGGGTGACTATGATTAGTGTTTAAGGGACACTAAAGGCAAATACATTACGCCAGTAACAATTTACGTCAGAGTCAAAAATCATTCTTTATGAATCTCTGAAACGTCAATGTTATCAAAGAGTGCTCTACAAATCGAGGAATTAAGTTAAATGTTCAACACCGCACGCGCCATCAATGGGACATTTCTGAAACGATCCCGATGAGGTGAGAGCATTCGACTACAATTAATCACTGGTAGCTAAACCAGCTGCAGTAAAGAAAGAACCTTCTGTGTGTTAAAACACGTAATAACAGGCTGCTTGTCCACTTCTGTTTGAATCATAAAAAAAGAACCACCTGACGTCACTGTGACGAGTGGTGCGAGTGGTTGAACGATGTTCTCTTTTAGTTTGGTTAGGCTGGATATGTGGGGCTATCTAGCGGGGTTCAGTTGAACCAAGCAAGCAGAAAATTGTTCAATGGCCATTATTAGAGAGTTGGGGTATACCGGGTTTACCGGGTTACCGGGTGTACCGTGTTACCGGAATCGAAGTGCGCATGCGCAGATACGTGCGACACCCGTACAGCTTCCCGTACGCGTGGTATTTTTCAGATTTCACGTTACCATGGTAGCGTAGGTGTACGTAGTGCACGTAAATATGGCGGCGCTCTCGGACGCCCGCTTCGAAGTGATTTTGGCGTAGTTGTTGAAAGATTCACCTTGTCCGCCGCAAACGACTGTTCAAAGTGGCTTCGCTTGCCTTCAGTTAGCTTCGATGACCGAATATTTCGGATAAGTTGGCGTAGTTTTTGAGATAGCTTCCCATTTCGAACGCGCCTAGGCCTAACTACAACGTCGATGTAAACAAATCGGCAACGTAGATGTTTTCGCGTTTGGTGCGTGGTTCATATTCATTTACTTTTATTATCAGTAAAATGAATTTCTAACAATGCTTCGCGCGGTGGCATAGGCGAACGTTCTCGTTTTTTTTTTCATTTTCACTGTTTAGCTTATTAACCATCTAATAGGTGGCGCCACCATCCCAGCTGGGGCACGTAAACAACGTAAACGATATCCCACTAAACTATAAGACGCTGCCCACAACGAACGTTTGCTCAACGGTAACGCCATTCCCTTAACCTACGCTAACGCTAAACTATACCTGTCTTGCTGCTGTGGCTCCCGCTACTTTCACTCTGCTGCTGCTAGTATCTGCGGCCGCGCAGTGAAGATGGGCAACATTGGGCATCGCAACCAAAACGTAAGAAAGCCCCCTTTCAGACGGTGATTCGAAATGCGCTAACAAGATTCGGACCACTAAAACATCATTTTATTTTGAAATAAGCACTTGCTTGGAACAAAGTAATGCTGCGAGCTTTCTGCACCAATGAAAGTCGACCTAATATGTGTATTTTGTATTTTTTAGGGCCCAGCCATGTTCAATATTAGCTTTGTCATATTGCGTATATTACTGACAGACCTTTCAGATAGCTTCAATAAACAATGATAGACTGTTGATATCTCAGTAACACGCTTTGGCAACTCATATAATCGATTTCCCGCAGGTAATTGAGCCCGCCATCCTTGTTCATAGCCAGGACTTGTCATAACGTTTGAAGCCGTTAGACGAGTCAGTGTATTCATGATAATTTTAGGCTTATGTTTCAGGTTGATGCAGCCTCGTGAATAACTGTAAGATTGTTCTAAAGCAACTAAGCTTTAATCGGAGCGATAGTTGAAATTAGTCATTACTGCATTAACTTACCAATGTTGCTGCTCTAAAACGACGAAAGTAAAGTGGTCATGTCAATGAAGAAAGACAGTAGACAGCATTTTGCAAATTCAAAATTGGTTAAATTTATTGTCGTCTTTCTCTTGTGCCATGGTGAACCGGAACAAAAGGAGACGGTGCCTAAATTGGTTAAGTCTTCTAATTTTTGATGATGACTATGTTGGTTCCAACGAAGGAGATTTCTGAAAAAAATAAAAAAACAATATAAATTAGCACACTGCTCTTACGATATCTCATTCAATATATTGTAGTTCAATATACTGGTTATTATCTTATTTTGGTCATTTCGTAATTACGCGGCACAGTGTTCCCACTGCTCCCAGGTCATCATCAGAAAGCAGCATTTTGTGTATTTCAATGTTACAAATTACAAATAATAAGAGAAGCAGGTAATTTGCTTTGCGAGACAAACGAGGTCTTATAGAAAATCAACATGAGCATGTTACGTCTTTTGTTTTCACTGAGCACGAGCTTTCATATTGCATGAACATCTGTCCAGAAGGCCCACGATGTGGCAGTGAGGCTAGCCCCCCCCCCCCCCCCGTCCTTACAAGGGAGCGGCCCGCGATCCTACCCTATAAAACGGGGGCGGAATCCTTCAGGGCTCCAATAAAGTTTTTCATCCATCCATCCATCTATCTGTCTATCTGAAGGAACAGAGTGAATGTGTATGAAGCACTTACACTTCTTCCTGCGGAGGAGAGCAGTGTAGTCGTAGGCGCTGCCGAGACCATAACCGTAGTTCAGGCCGTAGCCGAGGAGACCGGTGCCGAAACCGTAGTGGCCAGAGCCGTAGCCAAGGGAGCCAATACCGTAGCTGTAGACTGGAGCAGCGTGGTAGGAAGCAATGGCTGGGGTGGCAACAGCGTGGTGGACGGTAGTGGTGGCCACAGCTGGGGCGGCGTGGGCAACAGTGGCGACTGGAGCAGCGGCGTAGGTGGCTACTGGAGCGGCGTGGGCAACAGTGGCCACAGCTGGGGCAGCAGCGTAGGTAGCGACTGGGGCAGCGTGGGCAACAGTGGTAGCGACAGCTGGGGCGGCAGCGTAGGTGGCGACTGGGGCAGCGTGGGCGACGGTGGTCAGAGCTGGAGCAGCGGCGTAGGTGGCGACTGGAGCAGCGTGGGCAACAGTGGTGGCCACAGCTGGGGCAGCAGCGTAGGTAGCGACTGGAGCGGCGTGGGCAACAGTGGTCACGGCTGGGGCAGCAGCGTAGGTAGCGACTGGAGCGGCGTGGGCAACAGTAGTGGCCACAGCTGGGGCAACAGTGGTGGCCACGGCTGGAGCAGCAGCGTAGGTGGCGACTGGAGCGGCGTGGGCAACAGTGGTGGCAACGGCTGGGGCAGCGTGAACGGCGGTCACGGTGCGGGCAACAGCTGGGGCAGCAATGGCGTAGCTGGCGGCTGGGGCAAAACTGTAGCCGAGACCAAGACCAGAGTAGCCGATGCCATGGCCAAGGCCGTAGTTGGAAAGGCCGAGACCATAGCCGAAGCTGCCAGTGTAGCCAGCGAAGGCGCTGGTGGCCAGAGCCAGGACAATGCAGGCACGGATCTGGACAAAGAATGCAATGTTGTTTTAACATCACACTCTTGTGTCAGAACAAGACACTTTCTTTACTAGGGCAATATCTGAAATCTTGGTGTTTCAGAGCTAACATTGCATTGATTCTGTATACCTTTGTACAGTTTCATGAATGGAGAATTGCTGCATCCAGTATATAACGGCTGCCGCAAAGCGTTAGTCGTCTTGGAACATTTTCTAGTGATCGACGTTATTTATTCTGAGCTCCCGCTTCACCTACACTAGCTCTATGACACTGCGTGCAGCCGAATTGAGCGTAGCTTCGATGTATTCAAGTTGTGCTTAATCTGGGCGCTCGGATCAAGAAAGCTGTCACTTTTTTGCACCATCCCACTTTTGGCTTCCGCTTCGATGTAAGCGAGGTCCCTTTGAGACTCTCCCGTACTGGGGTAAGACAGTCAGTAGAAACAAGCTGGTGCTTCTTACCATGGTCTTGTTCGGCTGCTGAAGCTTGAACTGATGATTTCGCTACCACACGGTCTCCTTTTTATACCAAATCTACAGCGCTGGCAGTGCCCTAGCGGTACCCATCTCAAAGTGACCGAGAACAAAAGATCAAGAAAAGGAAGGTGTATCACAGCTTACGCATGTTTTACTAAGGCGGTTTTCAACTCATTTTGAAACCTTATATCCTCCTCGCTTAAGGTGGGGCAGAAAGCAATGGATGACCCACATATCCATAGCGGAAAGGGGCAGAGCTGCATCGTGACCTTGACAGCCTTGTACCGGGGGCACGGAGTCTCGCTGCTTTCTATGCGCGTGTCCTCAGTTGTGCTGAGAATATAATTAATTTTAGTTCGAAAGCAACGGAATACAAAAGTAGCTAAGAGACGCGAGCGAAAGTTTACCGATGCTCACCTAAAACAGGTTTTCAAATTGTTCCTGCTGATGGAAAGTAGATCAAACTGCATCGTGCGATTCATGTTCCTCGTCTTTCCTTTTTTTTGGCATTTTTTTCTTTTTACTCACAAGTTTTTTTTTAGCATTGGTTATGTGAGGATATTCTACCATTTGAAAAAAAAACTTTAGGGCAAAGCCGGTCTCATCTTATCGCGTTGGCTGCCACTCTTTAGATTGCGTTATTCGTGAACACCTTTCGAATTGCGTGAGACGAGATTAGCAGCACGAAAAGTAATTGAAATGCGCGAGTGACTACCAGCTACGACAATGTCTACACAACGGGCTGGACAGAGGCACATTAAAAAAAAACTTACCCCGCACTCGATATTGATCGATCGGTGCGCTACCAGTCACCGTTTTACTCGTGCTGATAGCTGCCTAGATTCTCCTTCATTGGGCAGTGCGCTGAAAATTTTACAGTGCTGCATTTCAAATGAATGCTGGAGAAGCTCGTTGTCACGTTTCAAGGGAGGTTGTAGGATGTCCTTGCGATGTCTAAAAGAGAAAAAAAAAGACTCTGTGGCAAAAGAAAGTTGTCGTTCATTAGTTGTTGCGGTTTTAGTTCAGGCACCTCGTCCTTCAACGTAACAACTTCTTGTTTATCCAGTGGAAAAGTGACAGCGTTTCGTATTCAATCTTCAATTTTATGAAACCATAATCAGTGTTGCGCGTGGCTCATTATTTTCCTTCACGAATACTGAATATAGGTTCAGTCGTTCAAGTTACCTCACACAGTTATGATTACGCGCCTTACGAAGATACTGTGCAGTTGTATCGTGCTTATATGCGGGAGTTTACTTACTTACGTGCGTTTAATAACTTTGGATAGAATATTGTGGAATCGTATAGTTCACGCTGTTGATACTAACTGTGTGAGAATTTTCTGTATAGGTTCATATCGTGTGACCTCCTATATATCTCACTATATTACCATATTAATGATTGCTGGGGTTTCACTTACTAGACTGCAATACGACTGTGAGGCAAACCGTATCGGGGACTTCGCGATAATTACGACTACCTGGGTTTATTTTAATTAGCAAATAAATCTAAACACACGGGATTTTTGTACATTTTACTCCATCGTAGTGCGGCTGCCGGCGTTGGGACCTGAGCCCAAGCCCTCGAGCTGATCAGCCCAGCGTTGCACATACTAAGGTAGCCCGATGGGTCGTTTCACATTATATATGCGTAATATGTGTAAAATGTTTCATACTGTCACCATACTGGCTTTCGTGATGTCGTATACACCACTTTCATGTATTTCACAGAAAACAAGGCCATTGTGGTCATAAATTAAGTATATGTTTGTGTAAATTATACAGAAAGTGCACTGTATGAAACTACAGTTCTTGAATGTAAGCCTTATTGTCGTTCATTTCTTTATCAGCTTATTTGCACGTCGTTTTCTGGCCGCGAACGCGTGTGTGTTATATTTGGTCTTATACGCTGTTATCTTCTCCTTTATTCATCCAACGAGTATTTTTATTTGTAAAAAACTGTTCGTTACTGCTCGACGCCTCCACTAAAAGCATACCCGAACGATGAAATGATCAATCGATTGGCATATGCTTTTACAACATCTGTAGCACAAACAAGTTGTTCATGAATACAGCATGCTTGTATTTTACAAGAACACTGTAGAAGTTTATTTCAATGTATCGGTTACTGTTCCCTCTTTCTGTAAGTGGTACGCCAGGTGTTGACGTTCCGATGACTACGTACAAAATTAAAACACGTGAAGTTATTTTCTCAATTTCTTATTTTGTTTTCATTTTTCCCGAGTTAGTATACCCGCCACCGACTCATAAGTATTCTGTGGGCAGTAGCTGTTTGCGTAAAGCGTGGAAAGAATTGTCCAAGACAACGTGTTCGATGTTAGGCGGCTTTTGTGCACGAACAGAGTCGTGATGGAACACCGCTCCACCTTCTCAAGTTCAAAATAGCGAAGTATCATAACAGCCTGAGTGGTTTATATGACTCCAAAAAAAGGGGGGGGAGGGGGAGGGGGTAGACCTAAGCAGGTTCTTACACGCGGTTCTTATCTCAGGCTGTCTCGGACTTCGCAAAAAAAAAAAGAATGATGACTGTGAAAACCTTTGCATGCGTAACAACATGATTGATTATACATAGAATAGATGAAACAGGCAGTGATAACACTGGCACACTTTTGGCAAAGGTAAAGCAAATTTTTGCCTGTTGAGCGCTGTCACAAGATGGGCAGTAGACTAGAAGGTCGATCATGCCCAGTTATACTGTAAATGGGGAACTTCACAAACAAAATTGAAGTAATTGAAACAATTTCAAAATTTGAAAGAACGCATTTTAAATCACAGAAGACTGTTCAGTTTAAGTGCGTGCCACTCGCGAAAAACTTTATGCAGTGACATCTTCGTTTCGTGACTGTGGTTCTGTGGTAAAATTGCGCTAAAACCATTCTTTCGTAGGTGGTGTCTGCTACAGCTGGGATGACGCATGAAGCTCTCTAGTGAACCTATCAGGTCTATCTGCAAAAACTTCAGTGAACAGTTTCAGCGTCCTTTCACAATTGGCACAGTCCCAGCTACATCGTTTTCAGTATGACAGGTCCATGACTTGTACAATGCCACTTTTCTATGCATTGATCCAAGAAGTTTTGTCGTTAAGTTCCCAAGTTCCTTTCTCTTGTAACAACTTACACCCATCATTTTGTTGGTGTCACTCAGACTTGGCTTCGTGATCAAATATTACACTTTGAATTCACAACGCTTGGTTATGTAGCTGTGGAAAAAGATCGTCAAACTTGCAAGGGTAGTGGAGTTGCCCTTTTTCCAAAAAATATCCAAAGTTTTTTGTTATCCCCCTCCCTATTGAGCTTGAATTTGTTTCGTGTAAATTGTACATATGTAATAAAGTTATTATCTGTTTTTTTATCATCCACTTTGTTCATCACCTGTTCTCTTTTGCCTTCTTGCTAATTACATTACCATGCACAACTTTCATGCATGTAGTCTAATCCTAACGGGCGACTTTAACACACCAAGTGTTCACTGGCTCTCCCTTTCATATCATGGTTCTTCGAGTAAAGAACGGACCAATTTTTCGCTGTTTTTCGGGGTGACGCCGGTAGTTAATGGTGCTACAAGGCAGAATACATGCCTAGACTTGGTTTTCTTTAGTGGAGACCTGTTCATAAGTTGTATGAATGCGAAATAATTGATTAGATGGCCGACCGCAAGGCTGTGTTCATATATCTTTATAAAAACTCCGTATGCCAGCACGCATTTCTATTCATATTTTTTCGACCCCGAATGCTCTGACGATACAACCATTCTTGAAGCTTTATCTCAAAACTACGAATCATTTGTTATGCTCTGTAAAAACTATGATGTGAATTCTCTAGTTCGCAAGCTTCAGAAGATTGTACATGCATGAATTCATCGCTTTATATCCGTAAAAAAAAGAAATCGCAACATTTCTCGGATGATCAGAGAAACATTACAGCTATGTAGCCGTATTAGGCACATAAATGCAGTGACGACCCCATTGCTAATACCAGATTCACATCCGCGAAAGAGGAACTTGAGCAAGAAACACAGCTGACCAGATACTTCAATTGTATCGAAACATGGGCCCTGCTCTGAAACAATCCTCAAAAATTAGCGCAATCTGTCATGTGTATTACTGATTCTGCATTTTATTTGCTATAAAAGTTGAAAATATAAATGATCTTTATTTATTTATTTTTATTTATTCAATACTGCAGACTCGATGTCCAAGCAGGGTGGTATTACACATACAAATAAAATAATTGCGAAACGAAAGAATAAAGGGCGAAGAAGGTTGTTTGGTAGGTTAGTTCATTCATCACATGTATTAGTAAGACAGTTCCATTCACATATGGTTCTTGGAAAGCACGAATACTTCAGTAGGTCTGTGCGAGCAAAAATATGGGATCAAGGCCTTTGGGTGATGGTGTCGGGTGGGCCGGCTACTAAGGGGTGTCAAATACGGGGATGGGTCTAAAGCTATTTTTTTGTTCAAAAGTTGATCAAGGAATTCTAATCTAGCTTTTCGTCTTCGCATCTGCAGTTAGGGAATGTTGTTGGCTAGCATTAAATCTGTGGGTGAGTCTAACTTGGAGTACTTGTTGAATATAAATCTAACAGCTTTTCTTTGAATACGCTCAAGAGTGTGTATATTACGTTTTGTATAAGGATCCTATACTATGCTCGCGTACTCTAGTTTTGGCCGCACAAGGGCTGTGTAACAAAGTAGTTTAACATTCGTGGGAGCACTTTAAAGTTTATGTTTAACAAGACATAGTTTACGAAAGGCAGATGAACAAACATTATCAATATGGAGATTCCAAGATAAGTTGGAATTGAGTGTCACACCAAGGTATTTGTAGGAGTTTACTTGTTGCAGTGGTGAAGACCCTAGTATGTATGTATACGATTGTGGATTCTTTTGGCGAGTCACTGGAAGGCACATACATTTGTTCGCGTTGAGACACATTCCCCATTTGTTGCACCATTCATATATATTGCAAAGACTAGTGCTCAGATCATTGAAATCGTTAGTGGAACGTATTTCTTTGAACAAAACACAATCGTCTGCAAACAGTCTTATTTCCACACTATAGGGTGAATAGGGTGAAGCCATATCTAACACATTTAATGCATATTTCATTCTGTCTACGCTTCTGACTCCCAAACGTGAGAATTATATTCAAGACATCACAATCAGCGCTAACGGTGTTTTTTATTTGATTTCAAAACAAGACACCAAAATCTATGGTGGTTCAGATGATGTTCCGAACTCTTTTTTACAACTTCGTTCTCAAGCCACCTCTCATTACCTTGTTATTGTACTTAAGAAATATTAGAAACTAGTATCTTTCCTTCATCCTGGAAGCTGGCGAAAATAATACGTTTGTATAAACGAAGAAACAAGCCCAACATAATCATGCATAAATTATTTTTAGCTTTCTATTCGAGCAAATGTTAGAGCCTATATTACACAGAAAGGTTTTTTTTTTAGCAATACAGATTTTTTTCTTTAAAACGTATATGTAGGCACTTGTTCTCACAGCCAATGTTTAGGCCTAGGTGTAACTATTTCGCCACAAATTGGATCACTCAAGAATGAATATTTCTCAAAAATCATTAAATTGACTTTTTATCATCAATTTTAGTGTAGTTGTTTGTATGATATTATTCTACGTCACATATTATGCCGAGCCAAGTTCTTATAACTTGAAAACACCAGGCGTGCTTTCCGAAATTTATCGTCGAATTTCCAGACCGCCGTGCCGGAGAACCCAAAACTAACGCACCGAGAGGGTAGTTTCAACGCACTCTGGTTAATTCCGGCACATTAGGTGCGTTAGTTTCAGTTTCAGTTTCTCTGGCACTGTGGCCTGCAGACTCGACGATGGATCTCTGAGACAACGCGTGATATTTTCGAGTTTTAAAAATAAAGCTAGCCATAATTTGTGGCGTAAAACAATTCGACAAATAAACAACCACCGTAAAATAAACAATATAAAAGTGAATTCATTGTTCTCTTTTAAATTAATCATTTCTGAGTGATGTACGTAGTTAGTGGCAAAATGTTTCCGCCTCGTCCTTGAAATTGGCTGTGGAAGCGAAGAGTGCTTATATATTATATTTTTTTAAGGAAAAAAAACTGTACTGCTTAGAAGACCACCCTGTATAAAGGCCTAATAACTTTTTTGGCGTCCAGCCATGCCCCGCCGTGGTGGTCTAGTGGCTAGGTACTCGGCTGCTGACCCGCAGGTTGCGGGTTCGAATCCCGGCTGCGGCGGCTGCATTTCCGATGGAGGCGGAAATGTTGTAGGCCCGTGTGCTCAGATTTGGGTGCACGTTAAAGAACCCCAGGTGGTCTAAATTTCCGGAGCCCTCCACTACGGCGTCTCTCATTATCATATGGTGGTTTTGGGACGTTAAACCTCACAAATCAATCAAATCAAATCAGCGTCCAGCCATCTTTTAACTAATGCAGATTGTGGTATCAGAAGTGGTTTCAGCATTATCGTGCAACTAACTGAACTGACCCTCGACGTAACATATCGTCTAGAACAGGGCAATCAAATCGATACATTTTTTTCTAGACTTATCCAAAGCTTTTGACACGGTGCTAGATTTTCATCCTCTGCATAAGTCGCATATATACCTAAAAAATACACGTCTGATTGCTTGGAATGCTAGTTTCGTTCATAACTTTTCTCAGTATGTCGACTTCAGTTCCGCCAGGTCATCAGCTTTAAAGGTAGGTTCGGCCTCACCGCGGTGGTCTAGTGGCTAAGGTACTCGGCTGCTGACCCGCAGGTCGTGGGATTGAATCCCGGGTGCGGCGGCTGCATTTTCGACGGAGGTGAAAATGCTGTAGGCCCGTGTGCTCAGATTTATTTGCAAGGTAATGAACCCCGGGTGCCCGACATTTCCGGAGCCCTCCACTACGGCGTCTCTCATAATCATATGGTGGTTTTGGAGCGTCAAACCCCACATATCAATCAATCATCATTAGAGGTAGGTTGTGTGATCATACGAGGGTCCATCTTGGTCCCCCTAATATTTTTAATTTATATAAACGATCTTCCAAACATGTATCCTCTAACATTCTCTTTTACGCCGATGGTTGTGCTTTATGTGACGCGATTGTTTCCCCAGCTGACCAAAAGCGTCTGAACGATTCCTTTAAATCGTTTGGTGTTTGGCGTGAAATTTGTAATATTAACTTCAAAAGACTGTTGTTTTGTCCTATACAAAAACGTAATGCTGGTTAATGCAACATATTGCTTCAATTGTGTCTCTTTAACCAGAGTGATGCGATACAAGTATGTTGGCGTCACACTTACAATCTGTCACTTTCTAACCACATTGCTTTAACATGTTCAAAGGCCTTAACACTAGGTTATTTGCATCGAACACTGCATGATTGATTGATTGATTGATTGATTGATTGATTGATTGATTGATTGATTGATTTATTTATTGATTGTGGAGTTTAACGTCCCAAAACCACCATATCATTATGAGAGACGCCGTAGTGGAGGGCTCCGGAAATTTTGACTACCTGGGGTTCTTTAACGTGCACCCAAATCTGAGCACACGGGCCTACAGCATTTCCGCCTCCTTTGGAAATGCAGCCGCAGCCGGGATTCGATCCCGCAACCTTCGGGTCAGCAGCCGAGTACCTGAGCTGTCAATCAATGCAGAATGTCGCAAAAGATGATAAAATTTTAATGTATATATCTTTTGTTCACCCTATCATCTTTGATGCCTCCATGATCTGGTCACCTCATAGACAATGCGACGTACTCAAACAAGAGGCACTACAAAAGAAAGCTGCGAGTTTCATTTTTTTTTTGCAGATACTACCACTATATCTCACCCTCATCAGCCTTAGATGAGCTAAAGCTTGAAGCTCTTTCAGTACATCCTAGTGAAGAATCATTAGGTATTGTTTCCCAAAAGTATGAACCATTCCTTTCGCATTTCGAACTTAGTTTTTTTTTTTTTGCCCTTTACCGAGTCTTCCTTTACGCGTAACTTTCACGAACTTGATCTTGCTAACTTTTTTTGCGTGTACTGATACATTTAGATATAGTTTCGATTCACACACTCTAGAATTATTGGATTACTTACCTGGCCACATTCAATCAGTCCCCCTAAATGATCATGTGAGTACTCTTGTTGAAAATCTATGTGTATAACAAACACTTAATTGCTTCATTGTTGCACATGGATTGTGTTGTTACTTCTCTTGTATTTTTGTCTGTTGTGATTTTTATGCGTTGTATTATCGCACTCCTGCAATAACCCTTTCACAGCACGGCAGTATTTAAAAATAAATTAATTAATAAATAAATACATTACCTGCAGACATATGAACGTCCGCCATTGCTCATTAGTGTCAGCTTTGCACAACAAAAATGGTTATGCTCCTCAATGCAGTACGCGCTTCCTGAGGTCTTCACACAAGCCTTATTTCTTTTTAATAATTGTCATTTTTCTCCGCTAAACGCGTTCGCAAGGAGAGAGGCGGGGCATCTAGCATATACTCATCAAGTTCCTCTGTGTCGTGAACCTTTCGCTGCTTATCTGCTTGTTTTACTCACTCACTAACTCTTGAAATAAATATAGCAAACCTCGTATTATTCCTTCGGAGTGATTATCTCGTAAACAGTTTTCTTCTTTCTTTTTGATATGTATTATATCTTTTTGATATGTCAGCACACCGCCTACCCTGTGTTGACTTCACAAGCTTTGCTGTCACATTTCTTGAACTGTATACATCCCATTTTAATTTATTAACGCCTACAATCCGTCAATTGGCTTGCTTTCTATCGTTTGCTGCAATTACGTTAAGTAGTCGATGTTTTGAAAACTGCAGTAATATGTTAACTCCCTTGAGCGGACATCACTGTTCTCACGAGCGAATAAAACACCATGCATTGTCTTTGCTATACAAATAATTCAGTCCTGACATAAAGACCCTGACCGCCTGAGCTCCGATGGCAGCGGCGGTGGAAGGGAAAGATTTATTGCGCAGTACTTTGCAGGGTGCACGGTTCAGGGCAGACAATTTTGCGTAAGGCATGAGCGCTCTCGCAAGTCGCACTGGAGTCGTAAATCTTGTAGCTTTCGTCTCCGGTCGAGGTCTCAACTGAAAAAAAGAAAGAGAAAGCACGGCGAAATGTTAAACTTGCAGTGCCTCAAAATAAGCAAGCGTTCGGGCTTTTTCGATAGATGGCAAGTGTGGTCGAGTGCGGGCACTAAAAAATAGAAACATACAAGATACAAGGGTGAATAGGAGACTGCGGGACACCCGCGCACCAAGTTTTGTCTCCGCGTGGCAACGTGCTGTCGTGGGCAGCGTCATATTGCCAAGATGTTTATATATCGTGCTTTTAAACAACATATATCGACGCTCTTTGTAAGTGTCTTCAAAATATCTTTACCTGTGGTAATCTGTGGGCTAACTCTGCGTGTATTAGACTCCACCCTTAAAGTTATTCTTCATACGCTAGAGATCGTTTGTGTACATAGTGCTTCCTATGAATTTATTCTTGTTTGTCTTACTTGCTTTTGTGTGCTCTCGATATTATTATTTATTTATTTTTATTTATTGATTTATTTTAGAGAATACTTCCAGCCTGAACGCCAGACTTTGGGCAGGGGTAGGTGGTACAATGAACACAACAATATGCAGGAAGTACAAAAAAAAATACTGAGCAGATTATGCAGCAGTACAAATGTTGTTTAGAAAAAAATAGAAACGCGTTGATTCACATAAAAAGGAAACAGGAAAATGCAGCCCTCAATTTCCATGCCATAAAGCGCAATTCCAAAAACGGCACGAATGTAGTGCTTGGCAGATCTTGCTGTGAACAAAAAAAGAAAAAAAGGTCAAGTACAAGTAAGGTCGGTAACAATGCAAAGCGTACATCCTGACAGGCTAGTAGCAAGCGTGGCAAATCGGTAAGGCACACATTTTCACTAAGACTAAGATGGGCACAACAACAATGGCACTGTAAAGAAAATGGGAGTGTAGCTATAAGAAAGATGGAGCAGGTAAGGCACGGAGAAATGAATTCAGGTCGACACTTTCCAGGCACGAAGTATCACTGTAATGGAACAGCTGACTTTAACGTAGCCTAACAGCCCATGTGTTGAATAAACAAGTAAATAAATAAATAAATATTTTTGGGTGATTCATACCACTTATATGTGCCTTGTTTCCTAGCGTTTCTAGGATAGCCGGGTCGCAAACTGGCTATCCTGGACTGGTTAAGCTCCCTGGCCTTTCTTCTCTACCATTTCTTCTTTCTAGCGTTCCCGCCATTTTATCTATCTATCTATCTATCTATCTATCTATCTATCTATCTATCTATCTATCTATCTATCTATCTATCTATCTATCTATCTATCTATCTATCTATCTATCTATCTATCTATCTATCTATACCTAAATTTGGCGCTGTCTGCACCATATCTGTGTAGTGTTTATTAACACTGTTATAGTTGACTTCGTAGAACTCGTGAAACCCGTTCTATTTCACACTTTATCCATCTCAATTTGTCACGACTACAAAACATGAGTACACTTACGTATATCGAGCACAGAATGTACGACTGTCAAATATATATACATGTCGGCAAACTCACTCACAAATCGACTCACTCGGATTCACTCAGACTAGGATAAAGCAGTGAGTCTGAGTCTGAGTGAGTCCGGGGGAGTAATACTTTGGTGAGTTTCAGTGCGAGTGAATCTGATAGAAGAAAATTCTTGTGAGCGCAGGTCAGTGCGAGTCAGCCTCAGGAAAACTTCGATGAGTGCTGAGTCAGATTGAGTACCAAGCGCAAGGTATAATTCATGAGGGAGTCTGAGTGGGCTCAACAATTTTCGACGACCTATGCCGCCAAATTTGTTTGGGCCTATTGCCGAATGTTGATCCGTCCAAACAATCAGCTTAGGAGTAGGCGCCGCCTACAAACAGTGGCGCTAAGGTTACACCGTTCTCTGTGTTACGAACATAACTTATTGCCGAGGCTTGCGTTTGTGGTTGAAGGCTTATCGTCGCTAATGAGAGCCCCTAAAATTAGTAGTGATGTGGAAACGAGGGGCTACGGTGGCAATGCCATTTGACAGTGCATCATTAAAGCAATCTATTGTACAAAAGCACCGATTCTGTGGTGGAAACATAACCCTGGGTTACCCACTGCCGCGCTCCATAAAGGCACGGTGTTTAACATTTCGCCTAATGTCGGAACCACCAGGTACTTCTGTGCAGGCGTACCGTGCTCCGTTATCACGAAATGTTTCCTACAGGCTTCAAATATTCGCGAGAAAATGTACGACAGCCGATTGTAATGAAGGACATGTCGATGCCGGAGATGACCAGTCAATAGCAAAGGAAAGCCACAAGAGTCACGTACGAGTTACCAATATGTAAACTTACAAACAGTGAGGTTTTATATATATATATATTATAGCGTTTTCCAAAGGCGGGAGACCTTCAGATGTTAGGTAATCGTGCACCTAATGCGCTGTCTACAAATCATAACTTTGTCCGGGAGGACAGCACCGTGATCTGTGAACGTAAGACATACATGTCGATGCCATGGAATAGTCAGTTTTGAAGATGTCCTAACCTGCAACACCCCCAAATCACGAACATGTTATCATTTCCATTTATGAGCATATGAGTTTGGCTTATTAGTATGCAAGTTTCAAGCGAAGTCAAACTTGTCAGGAAACGTGTGTACGCTTACAGATGGAAATTGAAATTTGTAGCCACTCACCATGCTTGAAGATGTAGGCTTTGCCGTTGTACGGCTCCTGGAGGATGTACATGTTCACGCTCTTTTCTATAAAGCACAAAAAAAAAACTAAATCTAAGTCTTGGCGGCTGACTGGTCATGCCTACGATATACAAAATTGGTCTTAGAATGCCTCCCTAGTAGCAATAAAGAAAAGCTTAGTATACGCTCAGCAGGAACTTCAAGAACGCTTATATTTAAGTTTATAACCATTTTTGGACTAAACTGCAGGAGTATATTATCCGGGAAAATTTATGCCTGGACAATTCAGCAAAAAAGTAGCATAGGTTAGAGCTAAAAAATTTTTACAACTTGTAGAAAGGTGAAACAAGAAAGCCTGGGCTACATACTAGCAGGCATTCTCAAACAATTATAGAACAGCACAAAGGTTTCAGGCATAAAAATTTATTCTTTTTTTTTTCGCCCTACTGAAAACAAGGCCGCAAAATGTAGTTTCAGCAGAGGGCTTGTCAGATGGATTACCAATGTATATTGGGCAAGACCTCCGTCTTTCTCATTATTATCACCATCATCCTGACTGCGCCCACTACAGGACAAAGGCCTCTGTCATGTTCTGCCAATCGACCCGATCCTGTGCTTTCTGCTGCCACCATATACATACAGACTTCTAAATTCCATCTGCCCATCTCATGAATCTTCTCTCTCTCACGCGTTCGCCTTCTCTTGGAATCTAGTGAGCTACCCTTAATGGCCAGCGATTATCCTGCCTGCCAATGTATAAAAATATACAATACACCACGAGCTTTCTCTTGGCTTCCCGAGCTCGATATGGTGATGGCCTCTATTTAGTGAGTGGCAATATAATAGTGTACGTGGAGTTTGATGGATCAAAGAGGCAAAACGGCCACACCCAGTCCTTTAACTTGGTAATGTTTCATTCGTCCGATCTGCTATAAAATATCTTGAAATCATTCAGTTACACGCCAAAGCGGAGTCTGGTTGAAATGTTGAATGGCCCCCCAAGGTCATCACATGGCTCTAGTATTCAGTGAGCACTGTTTTAATCACATATCAATTCTAAAACAGCGATGTCATGGTACCAAATGGTGTTATAGTGGGCACCGGCTTAATTTTTATTACCCAAGGTTTATTGCGTGCTAACAAACCTAAGTGGGTTTTGTAGCATTTCGCTCGTCGAGCCAGGCAATGAAACCCGTAGCTCCGTGATTTGAGGCTCGGCACTTTAGTCTCTGTGCAAGCACAGCGGCAGTAGGAAACAACCGCAATACTTCGGGAATAAGACTTCGAATTCCAGTGAATAAAGCTGTGTATTCCGGCATCAAACATTGGTCTGTAGTCGTAAACGTGAACTTGTATGGGGGCTTCGATCAGGGAAGCGTAATTAAAACAGGGCTGAAATATAGGATAGTCATGACCTCACGATAAATATTCCCAGCGGCGTTATCCAGCTGAAATTTCCAGCGTGTGAGTGTAAAAACTGACTTACCACCAGCGCCTAGTATGATGTAATCCTTTTGAGGCACGTACTCCGCTGATACATGAAATCTGCGTGAGTGAAAATGAGAAATGCATGTAAGAGTAAAATTATTGCTATACACTTCAACTCCCTCTCCAAAACAGACTATTGGCAAAAATTTTCAACACTTCCTTTGTGCATGGTCTGCCTTGAAAAGTACGTGAGGATGAGTTCAGTCGGCGTTTTTCTGGACATTGGCGTGGTTTGACAAATGCACGACATTCGTCTCACCTCTGTTGATATAACGATAGGTTTCTGGGTGCTTGGAGACATTCAAAACCGTTATGCTACAGCTGGGCGCTATCGCACGGTTATTGCTACAAAAAACGTAGCAATTAACAGACTACTTGATTATGTAGGCCAACCATAGCTTAATATACTTCACTCGTGTGATTACGCACGTCACCTAAAAGTAATAAAATGAAGGTTTAAGTACAAAAAAAATACGCTTGCTGCTCGTATGTTGGAAGTTTCTCAACCAACCAGCTGTGGCGACATAAATTTTTAAAGCAAATATTGAGGCCTGGATAGCTTGTATCGCTAAAAATGAATGACAATGTTTAAAATGGTTTATAGGCATATCATAGCGAGTATCGGAAAGCTTTATTGAGCCAATTGGCAGGAACATGAAGTTGGTCTAAAATTTGTGGCGCCGCAATGACATTTCAAGTGCTTGGGTCAAAGCACAAAACTAAATATTCAAGTACATACATTTGTTTTAGCTCTCCTATAGTAAAGAAACCATCGTGAAAAATTTAACGACAATGAAGTTTTCACAGAATAATTCGGATGCATAAAGTCGTTTATTGCTTATCTCTTCTGTACATTAAAATGGTGATATTCCTTTAGAATTCACATATAGCATTGGGCTATAGTTTGACAAAAATTATGCAATTTCTCATGCTGATTGCGGCGAATCATTAAGGAAGGACTATAATTTATTGGCTTATCCCGTTTTTTATATGAAATTCCGGAAAAAAGATAAATGAGAAATACTAAAACTGCGACATTCCACCGAAATTCTGTACAAGAGGTACTGCCTACAACTGAAATCAGGACAATTTTTTTTTACGTTTCAAGTGGTACTTTTAACAGCTGGTATAGGGTAAGGATTCATCACTTTTACAAACCTCAACAGGGTTTGGCCTGCTGCATGGTAGTCAGAGTTTTGGACAGCGTCTTACGCGCGCAAGCAATGTTGCCTGGGGGTGGATTTCATGGTTTTTCTTATTTCTCCATTATATTTTTTATCAGCTGTACACAGCACAAAATGTGACTAAGGATGTAGGTTTATTTTTTTTCTAAATATTTCGGCACAACCTGCATTGAACTTGTATAGCTTTTTTTAGAAAACTTCACTCTTGTGAAATACGTCAGTTCTAATATAATCGCCCTGTATAATAATTGGTAAAGTTTTGTGAGCCACCACAACGAAAATAAAGCTGTAGTAAAGAGCGCCGGAGATTCAAACACCTGGGGTTATTTGACGTAATCCTAAATCAAAGTACGTGGGCCTCTAGCATGTTGACTTATGCTGCCGAGGCTTAGAGCGAATCCGCCACCTTTGGGTCAGCAGCTGAGTACCATAACCCTCCTCGGTGGCTTTCCGTTAGCTTTCAAATTATGGAAATGGGAAAGTGGACAAATCGCTTGAATGCTTGCGGTGTTGCAAAGACTCCACCCACCCGTTGAACGCCCGTGATTAGATTAAGAGCGCACAAACTCACGTCTTCTTTCCTTCGCTGTCGGGCAAACTGTAAGTGACGACGCACTCAATCTTGTTGTCGGAAAGTCCTTTACCGTTCCACAAGACGCTCAGCTTGATGGCCGATGGGTCTTCCAGGCTGCTGCCGTTACGATAACACTGGTAAGTGGTCAGTGGTTCCTTGCGCACACTCTGCACGCGTTAAAAAATGACACGTTAAAATTCTACATAGTAACTGAAAATAGAGCCAAGTATGCCACTCGACCATGGTGCATGTTTTTTTAAAGAGGTTATGAACCATTTTTCCAAGTAATCTTCGAATGGCCCCAGTACCGGTGTACATTTCTTCACGAACCGATTGTTGCAAAAACGTTCTCAAATCGGTCAACAACGATTGAACTCACAGGGCTTCATCTCACCCTCTAAGTGATTCCCCTCTTCTCCCACCACTACAAATGAGCTGGAAGAAATTTGGCACGACCGGAAGGAAATTAGGTCTGTGCGCGCGATGACCTTGAGTGCGCGTATGAAACTCTATCGCTATTGCTCGTTGTGACTGCTGTGCGCGAGTGTTACTCTCTGTGTAATGCTAGCCGACTATGGAATGCAATGCCAGCACATGGCGGCACCCCTTGGCAACAAGCGTTGGATATATGCTGGCTGTTGGCCAGTAGCGAGATATTTGCTGTTCAGCGTCAAACAATGGCCACTGGCTACACCGAAGAGAGGGAGCACAAGCTTCTGCATGAGAAAGGGGACGCCTGATCAAATGGCAAATTTGCGTTCTTGTAAACTTTCCTTGCTGCACACGACTTCAAGCTTCGCCTTATATTTTCACAGCAGGATGCCTTAAAACCAGCTATCCCGAGGGGTGATCGACGATTCTTGTAACCATGTCTGATTTATTTACCTGTTTGTCTCGCTGTATTTCGCGCTTTTCCTAACATGCTTTCACAGTAGCATATTCTCTGAATAATTTAAACGTGTTATGCATGCCTAATATTTGTGCAGCTAATATTTAACTTCGCTTGTAGTTATTCAGTGAAAGATGCGTCAGACGCCTTGGAACTATTTCTCTAAGGGCGGTCCGCCCAATGCGGTGTCCTGCAAGGTCAACTGGAACTAATAAAAAACGACCACGTTTAGAGGTACGGCATAAAAAGCACATTTACACTGACCTTTAAGAGTGAAAAAAGGTCATCTTTCATGCCTTTTCAGTGTTTTCAGTGGTGAGATCTCATATTTTATCTCTGAAGGCCGGCAACGAAGTTTGTAGATCAATCAAGAAATGTAAGGCGTACTACTAAATAGACAAAGGGTCAGAATTATGTAACGACAAAAGCATCGACATAGGGGTACAGGGGCACAGGTTCTGCTTTTCTGTGGCAACACCTATGGGTATGTGTCGTCTAAACAATGTAAAACTGTATAGTAGTGTGCTATGTTGTAAACAATCAAGTTATGCATACGAAGAATGTATACCTATAAAAACAGACGTTTATATATTATTCCAACCCTAAAGGTATTTATTGTGTCGAACGCATTTCATTGCCAAGTTTTCATAATTATTTTTTCAAAACCATCCCGTAAGAAATGCGACAAATGTTAAGTGTATACATAAGCTGAAGAGCAGTGTCCGTTTTTCTTCTTTATTTTGAAAGCAGCTACTACAGTGAACGTAACAAAGCAACAGCACCTATATCAACAGAAATCCTTTCAAACTTGGCCCATGATCAGCTATCACTATAGGATTTTCGAGAAGCAAAATAAAGCTAACGAAAACAACGCTACTAGACCTCGGTTGTAATGTCCAGTAGAGTTGCTATTGGTATTGCTTCGATACCGTAACTCTGCTCACAGCGAAATCGGCAATAGCGTCTTTCAGCAGACCTGGTCTACTGTACGATAAGGCAATGCAGTATGTTCTGCACGTAGCTTTTTTTGTTTTGTTTTGCAAGACCTCTATTAGCCACTCTCATCGTCTCATCCCGTTACGCTACACAATAAGCGGTTCACGTGTATAAAGCATTTAAAAGAATAGAAGCTGCGAGCCAACCACGGTGGTACCATACTCCCGTACTTACAGTGCGGTAAGCCGCCACTGATAAAACACTCTAATGGAATGGCGTTAACACGGTTGCGTTTACGAATGGTATAACGTTCACTGGTAAATGTATCACGAGCCGATAACGTATTAACTGTGCAAGTCGCCTGATGCTTCCGGTAACATGACGAGACGATAGCGGTGCCTAATAGAATCATTTCAGATAACGACGTGCACTGCGTGACTCAGCAGTATTCTTGCACCTGACGTACACCGTAAGTTGGCACTGATCAAGTGCCCTAATGTCATACGTACTGTACGTGACATGCGTTGTGGTTGTATTGAAATTTTATGAGCTGCGTGCAGTCCAAGTCGATAAGAACGACTATACTTCCGAGTGACCCACAAACCTGTTCTTATGCTTGGCACGTCGTCTGCGGCCTCACTCCCTTTTTTTTTTTCATGTGCATCTATGGTTGCTGTTGGGCAGATTTGAAAAGGAGCCACAACTGAAGCTTAAAGTAGCTAAATGTAGCGAGACGACTAAATATTATTCTCATACTTATACGAAAATGCGCAAGAGGCTGCTGCCTAATAATAAAAAAATTATTAATAAACAATAAGCATCATTTTGCCATGCACGAAAACGTAGCAATGAAACCACGTTTGGATCTATCTTTGCATAGACTTCAAGCCGCATAAGTTTCAAAGTTATTGCAAGTTCAGTGCGTCTGCATATAGCTTGTGTAGAATGGAGTTTTTCGCAAAGACGGAGTAATTCGGGGACATTCTAGCCAGCATGACAATACGACCAATACAACTTCAGTTATTCCTTCAAGCCGCAGACCGAAATCTATATAGTACGGTCGCCGCAGTATCAGTTCAGTCTCAAGTATCGAAATCTGGTTGTAGATGAACAGTCCTGCTTCAATTTCTTGCTCATCTGTGTGTTCCTTGAGCTCTCGGGAAAACGCACGTCTCGAATTTCGCAACTGGCGAGCTGCGAGACAGCGTAAATGGTGGGCTGCGCGAATAGTGCTCTATAACTTGGCGTTAGCCAACATCCGCACAAGTTCGTCAGTCCATCTTTGCAGGTCCGTCACACGTTGCGTTTGGGGTGTCTCGACGCACGGCGGACTGCTGTCGGGGATGGAGATGCGCTTGCGTTGGCTGACGTGGCAGAAAGGCTTTTAAACAACGTATCTTATCTAGAACAATGACAAAAATTGGTAATAATTGCGCAAGAATAGACGTTTAGAGTAGCCAGAAAGTAGTCATGGAGCCAACCTTAAATTTTCGCTGCTGTACGGGATCATCAAGTAGCCGATTCGCTTAAAAAAAGACACGGCGAACCTGAGCGCATCACCCTGTGTGGATCTGTTTTCCAGCTTTCTCTCCCTTCTTTCCCCTCATCTTCACGGCGTGAATAGTCTCGGAGTTTAACAGCTACTCATTTTTTTTATCTTATTGTACTTACTGGGGAAACAACATTACCTAACCTGATTACTTCATCAATGATCCAAGCACTTTCAAAATATCGCCAGGTCAGGTTGTTTTGACCTTATATGTACAGACGTACTCGAAATCACAGCATGCGGATAAGGCTGCCTGTTCCAAAGTGGGTGTTCTTTTTTTGCGTGTATTTGTCTTCTTTTACGATGGTCCACGCACGATGCACTGCGTGACAAATCTGCGCCGTATATCAGACATCGAGTCTCTCAAGCCTATATGACGCAACTTTATGACTGGGTGGCGACACATGCGAACTGAATTTTGAAATTCTGGGCGTGCGTATTCTGAGGGGACGTTTTGCGTCTCGCTGGCCATAACGTGCTTTTCCTTTTCGATTTTGCCCAAGGTTAGATGGCACCGAGCGAGCTAACCTGGAACGTGGACATTATGCAAGCTCCTCCTCGATAAGAGAGGGAGGGAAATATATGAAAATTAAAAAGTACAAATTAAACTTCGCCCGGTAGAGGGACCAGTTTGCTACCCTGCACAGAGGCGGGGAAATAAGGATTGAAAAGGGGACAGAGAGAGAGAGAGAGAGAGAGAGATAAAGAACAAAAAAAAAGAATGTACACATGGGCACATATGCCGGATGTTCTAGGAAGAGTCGTTCGGAGAGGCCGGTTGAATGCAGAAAGCGCCACAGTGCCTGCACAGCCTCCTGTGACGATAGGTTTGAATCTAGTATTGAAAAATGAGGTACAGCAATGCATTTATGAGGGAGAAAGAAAAACCACCTGCAACTAAATGCAGAAAACTAAGAAAATATATCTGTCGTGATATCATGTGCTCCTCAAGATGGTCTAGCCGTTACCGTACACGACTTCTACTGACCTGAACGTCGCGGGATAAATTTCTGAGTGTGGCAACTGCATGTTGGATGGGGGGGAAAAAAGCTAGACGCCCGTGTGCTTAAAGTTAGTTGCACGTTAAACGACATCTTTGGTCCAAAATCATGGAGTTATCCTTGCGCGTACCCTGGTTTCTTCATTTCGGGTGTCGGGTGTGGGGAAGGAGGGGGGGAGGGGGGCGGCAAGGTCTCATTGTTTGACAGAAAATGTTTCCCTGGCAAAAATAAAAAGTTGTTGGCCAGTAATATGGCCCATAGGATGGCTTTTCAAGGGAGGGGGATGGGGCTCCTTTAGCTACTAGCTCGAGGTCCTCCACTACGGCGTCCTCCCATAATCATATCTAGACTGGGGGGGGGGGGGGGGCATAAAAGAGAGTTTTAGATTTGTGTAAGTAGCGTCCGCGAAGGCGTTGTACGCGTAAGAACGCCACCTTCGCATAGAGTGTACGAAGCACTTCTGATTTTGATCTTCCTTTGTTCTATTTCTCTGTTTTTCATTTTTCATATGCTCTTCTAGGGTGCCTGGATAGTAGAGTGCTTACGATGTTTGCCTTCAGGTTTTTAGTACAGAGATTCGAATCCCGCCTCGTTGAGCAATTTTTAAATGCTAAGCATTTATTAGCGAACTTCGGCGACATTGAGCGTATCTATCTATCTATCTATCTATCTATCTATCTATCTATCTATCTATCTATCTATCTATCTATCTATCTATCTATCTATCTATCTATCTATCTACCTACCTACCTATCTGGCCGCCACTACAACCTTTAGCTCTCCTGGCCGTTTCGATAATGGTATCGATACCAAACTTGGTATGGCATAACCTTACTGTATGAATAACATACTTGACTATTCCTAACATGAAAATGACGACAAGGATGTCATAAATGTCGTGATTTTGATTTCATGGTCCTGCAGCGTTTGCGGTGGTTTAGTTCACATGGCATGCTGCGAATCTGGTATGGTATGACATGATTGCATGGTGAACAAATGCAACAGACTCTAACATGAAAATCATGGCATGCGTGTCATGTAACAATATGACTCATGCCAAGCACATGATGCGCTCGTGGCTGCTGCGCTAGCGTCACATATACCAAATTTGGTATTACGATACGTGAATGCATGACTAAGGTATATGACTCGTGCGAACATAATCATAAGATGCGTGTCATGTAACAACAAGACTACATGCCACGCTAATGATGCACTGGCGTCCGTTTCGCTAGCTTGACTTATACCAAACTTGACATCACGGGACGTGAATGGATGACAAAGATATAATGATGGTGAAAACACGATAAACATGAGATGTGTGTCATGTAACAACATCCCTACATGCTACGCTCATGATGCGCTCGGGGCCGTTTCACTAGCTTCACATGTACCAAACTCGGTGTTACGCGACACGAACGAACGACATAGGTAAATGAGACATACAAACATGATAATCACGACATGCGTGTCATGTAACAACATGACTACATGCCACACTTATGATGCGCTCTTGGTCATTTCGCTAACTTCACATATGCCAAATTTGGTATTACGTGACGTCAATGGATGACGCAGGTATGTGATTGGTGTTAACATGACAATCATGAGATGCGTGTCAAGAGAGAACATGACTACATGCCACAGTCAAGGCGCCAATACATTTAGACGTGACGCGGTGCGCGTGCTCGCCGGAGCTCATTTAGTCGAGTCACGCCGGCGTTGCCACGCCAGGCGCCGGTCCTGCCATATACTCCCAAGCACGCGCCGCGCTGCGTAGCTGTGACGCATGCGCGTATACGAAATTTACTACATATACCAAATTTGGTGTTACGCGAGGTCAAGGGATGACGAAATATATGTCTGGTACAAGCATGATAATCCTGATACGCGTGTCATGTAAGAACATGACAACATACCCCACCCATAGCGTGCTCGCGGCTATTTCGCTAGCTCCAGATATTCTAAACTTGGTATCATGTGACGCGAATAGATGACGAAGGTAAACTACACCTCCAAACATTATGATCAAGACACGGAAGTCATGTACGGCATCATTTACCGCCATCTCGTAACGTTGTGCTGATTTTAAAGTGACGTATCAACTTTTCTTTTTGTGCTTCGCATATCATCGATTCCCACTGTACGTAAGATCTGCCATTTTTTTTCGACTAGGATTTTTTCTCCTTTTTCTTTTCCTCTTCCATTTCTGCGCTTTTGTACTCGTTCTCCCACACATCATAGTTACTCTATCCGACGCCGAAGAAATCAGCCAAAGTGGTGCGAGAGTGAAGAGTATTGATAGGCCCATGCTCGTGTATGATTATGATATTCTCATGTTCGTGCATCGCGACGTAAAGCTCGCGTAAGCAGCTTCTCTGCTAAAAATTCTGCAAATTCTAACACTTGACATAGTGTTATTTAGGACTTGCATCCATGTGCAGATGGCTGAGGTAGATGTACCAACACGAATCCTTGTGCATTCTTCCCCTAATGATCAAGGTGCGCGCGTCAATTGAGATCTTGAGTGATAAGTAGTTGTTTTGTAGGCCTACCTCAACGAAGTCCTTCAAGGGCGAGCCGAATGCACAACTTCCCGCCAGGAGGACTAGAAGGGCACAGAAGGATGCTTTCATGGACGCCATCACTGCAGGGGGAGTTCAAAAAACTAATCAATGCGCGAGCTGCGACAGAGGCTAAACACTTCCTTCATTAGCCACACCCTGTCATTTACGAGAGCCCTTAATTCAAGCCGCCTTGGCCTTTTCTCGCGCGCGCGCGCGTTTGTGTTTGTGTGTGCGTGCGTGCGTGCGCGCGTGTGTGTGTATGTGTGCGTGTGTGTGTGTGCGTGCGTGCGTGCGTGCGTGAGTGCGTGTGCGTGCGTGCGTGTGTGTGTGTGTGTGTGTGTGTGTGTGTGTGTGTGTGTGTGTGTGTGTGTGTGTGTGTGTGTGTGTGTGTGTGTGTGTGTGTGTGTGTGTGTGTGTGTGTGTGTGTGTGTGTGTGTGTGTGTGTGTGTGTGTGTGTGTGTGTGTTTGTGTGTGCGTGCGTGCGTGCGCGCGTGTGTGTGTATGTGTGCGTGTGTGTGTGTGCGTGCGTGCGTGCGTGAGTGCGTGTGCGTGCGTGTGTGTGTGTGTGTGTGTGTGTGTGTGTGTGTGTGTGTGTGTGTGTGTGTGTGTGTGTGTGTGTGTGTGTGTGTGTGTGTGTGTGTGTGTGTGCGTGCGTGCGTGCGCGCGTGTGTGTGTATGTGTGCGTGTGTGTGTGTGCGTGCGTGCGTGCGTGCGTGAGTGCGTGTGCGTGCGTGCGTGTGTGTGTGTGTGTGTGTGTGTGTGTGTGTGTGTGTGTGTGTGTGTGTGTGTGTGTGTGTGTGTGTTTGTGTGTGCGTGCGTGCGTGCGCGCGTGTGTGTGTATGTGTGCGTGTGTGTGTGTGCGTGCGTGCGTGCGTGCGTGAGTGCGTGTGCGTGCGTGCGTGTGTGTGTGTGTGTGTGTGTGTGTGTGTGTGTGTGTGTGTGTGTGTGTGTGGTGTGTGTGTGTGTGTGTGTGTGTGTGTGTGTGTGTGTGTGTGTGTCCGCGCGCACGCAACTTGCATAGCCCGAAATGGGGGTGCACGTGCCCACCCATTTCAAATAGTTGCATGTTAGCAAAAACGCAAATGGAAATCCACATGTGATTCAGACGCAGTGCATTGAGAGTGTCATTAGGGAAAATTCTTACGTGACTGAGCGAGCGAAAAAGAAATGCACACGCAGAAGATCATTAATCGTTACTTTAACATTTTTGGTACAATAGTATTCCTTCAGTTGACCCACCTGGCGCCTTTTCGCCATGAAGTGGCCCTTGTGCCATAAAACACCACACAGGATCCTACTATATTTGACTAACAATTGCCTAAACACCGCTGAAAAGCCGAGTTTTTCAAGAATGTTACATTGTCGTAGCTCAATTCAGTGATAATATCTTATTTATTTATTAATTTATATTTATTTCCTTATGTATTTATTTATTTAAATAATTTTAACGTTCGTTAATAAACGACTTGCAAGCGGAAACTCATTGCTGGCTTCTAGTTGGCAAAGCGACGAGAAGCCCTAACCGGTCGGTTTAAAGTCACAGATAGTTTAATGTTTAAAACTGTCAGCTGTAAAGCATCAATGGGCCCTTGCGCACTTTTCTTTCTGACATGTCATCTATAATCTTTTGTTACAGTAAAGCAATTCACGATTAATTTTGTCGGAAACGTTACAAAAAGACTGTATGAAGATTAATGGGAATACAGTAAGGTATAGTTGATTAGCCCCAAATTAGCCCACCAACCTGGATCCTTGCTGAAGAAGGGGCTCTCCTAATTCTGCCGAATGGCGTATTTCCAGGGGAAAGCATAGCCCATCCAAGCGTCGCAATTTCAGAAATTTCATGACTGAGTCTAACGTTCTCTAGGCCGTAACTCGTTTAACTGGTCGACGTTGATTGGCATCGACTTTCTAAGCTTAATAGAAGACCCAGTGTTAAAGACACTGCCTCGCGGGATGCCATTCCGGCCACGGCGAACACATCTTTAATAGAGATGAAAATGCTTTAGACCCGTGGGATTAGATTTAGGAGTACAATAAAGACACCAGGTGGTCGAAATTTGTGGAGTCTTCCACCACGGCGTCTCTCATAATCATATGGTGGTTTTGGGACTTTGAACCCCACGGACACGTTTTGAACATTATCCAAAACACTCTTGACGAATTGGACGACATAACGTATTACGGCCTAACGCACCGTCAGCATAGACAACTGCTTCGGGCTACATCATAGATGGCATGTTCAAGGAAATTCTTGCAAACGATCTTTTACAGGGCAATTATCTCACATATATTTGCATCTCTGAGCACGCATTCGCTCTTTTTGTGAGCCAAGCTGGGCACTGAAGAATGCGTGACTAGTTTCCCAACATGTAACTGCAAAGCCATTTTAACGCGATAGCTAAGAGCCTGTATCACGGGAATGCCGCCATCGGCATCGGCGGTGTTGGTCATGAGCGAAAGATGGGTACCGTTGAGGAGGCCACGAACAATGAAAGCGGGGCCAGTGAATAAGTGCTTACGCGACAGAGGCCAGACTACGCAATCAAGTTCCGCTCTTTAAGGCAAAGCTCAGGTGTCCTCCACGTTTTTCGTCGTCTCACTTAAGAGCATTTGACGCTTTTAAGAGTTTCGCGCATTTGCTCACCTTTGCATCTACAAACACGGTCACCTTCTGCGTGAGATGTCGATACTCACTTGAACGAATTCTACCCGCTCAAGCAAGGCGTCCTCACAGCTTGCGTGTTGGTTTTGCACTGGTGAGTCGCATTCACCGACTGCTGGCTCTTATCAAAGTGGTGTCCGTTTCGCTTTTTTTGTTCCCACCTTACGAGTGGCGTTCCCCTCCAATGCTCGTCACATGCCCGCGCATATTTTGAATGGAGAAAAGACGCGAGTGAGGCGTGGGGCGCTTTTTTTTCCGGGAAGCGGCAACTACAGCACACGCCAGACCAAGGGCGAACGCTTTGTAGCGAGAGATTTCTTCAGCTATAGCGACTCGCATGGCGCACTCTATTAAGACGGTGGGGCTGCGACTCTCTCCTCTATCTACATTTGTTTATAGTGTCCTTATAAGAAGCGAGTGTGAAGACGGTTCAAACATTGGGGGGAGGCTTACCGCATTTACTCGTACGCATCGCCAACAGAGAGAGCGAATAGTAAACCATCTATACGTTACCACTCGGTTGTTGAAGCCAATGATCACCTTACTTCACAAAAAAAGCAGTTTCACTCGAAATTGTTGTAAAAGCACACACCATCCAAATAAAGTCACGTGGTTTTTTATGCATTTCTCAAAGATGGCTCAATGCTCAAGCCATCTTCATCATAATTTCTTCTCAGGTGATTCTATTGTTCAGTCAACAAGTTTGGAAACGCTTGAGTGGGATTAAAAACTAACTGTAGACGCAACAGAAAGCCACCTAGAGCATTGTTTCTTTGTTGTTCCAATAACCTGAAACGCTCGAATATTGATCTTATCAGCCAGCAACTTCCTCAACTTTTTGTGAAACTGAGTACGGCTGCTTATTTGCGTATTATCATGAATTCTTTCTCCTCGATCTCTCCTACCATTTTTTTTTCTAAAGAAGTTTAATACCCTACAGCATAGGCTCGCTCAAGCATGTTTTTTTGTCTTTTGGATGAAATCAAAATCTTTTTTTTTCGCAACCTTCTTTCGAGTAACATTCAAAGTACGTCGTCCTTCAACTTACATATGAAGCAGAGTGAGTTTAACCTGTACACTACCTTGAACATTTCCAAAACACTGGTTTGTTTCTGTAAAGCAGCAATGGTATACCTGATAAAGCTTTCAAAACATGAGAGACGAAGAAAAGGTCACTGTCGTTAATATTATCTCGTACTATGTCACAATATCGGAATTATGAATATCGCCAGGCTGCTGTTGTAAGACAGCGCCATGAATTGGACATCATGAGAATCTCAGTTCTGTAAAAGACACTGACTTTAGCCTTTCCTATAGTTATGAGCTCGACGTCAATGTTTCTTGATGGGACACATTTAGTCTGCAAAACTTGCATGTAAGAACAGTAGTCAGAAAAAAATATCTTATTCAAAAGCACTTTTCGGCCCAAACTTTGTGTTGCCCAGAATAGTTGCTGAGATGGGCAACACATTTTCTCTTTTTTCTGCTCTACGTGAACGTTAGAGCTATGAACATCTATAAATTCACACTATGCAATTTCATCCTCTGTTTATCTCTAGACAAAACAATCATACGCGTCAAAGATAGCCTGAAGTAAAGAAGCTCGAAGCTTCAGTACTATATGCAAAAAAAACACATAACATCAAAATCCGAATGCAACACCCATCGCTATGAACTGTATAATAATATGGGATCTCGAAATCAAGCGGTGCAATGTTACTTCAATTTGTTATTTTTTAATCTGCGCTTTCTGCATCACACTTCATATACACCCGATTAACCACTTAGGGCTTCGAGTTATTTCACTTTGACAGCCCCCATTGCCTCTTCATTGATTGATTGATATGTGGGGTTTAACGTCCCAAAACCACTATATGATTATGAGAGACGCCGTAGTGGAGGGCTCCGGAAATTTAGACCACCTGGGGTTCTTTAACGTGCACCCAAATCTGAACACACGGGCCTACAACATTTCCGCCTCCATCGGAAATGCAGCCGCCGCAGCCGGGATTTGAACCCGCGCCCTGCGGGTCAGCAGCCGAGTGCCTTAGCCACTAGACCACCGCGGCGGGGCTGCCTCTTCATAAGTACATATTCCAAGGATAAATTATAAGTAAACGCTACGAAGCGAACAATATGTCACGGCGTACGTGGGACCATGGGACGCTATAGCGCAGAACGTGTAGCATACTGCTTTACGTAAGGACGGTAATTATGAAATAGGTTCCACGCAATTACCGCAAATGCGGTAATATTATCGTATAAAGTTAACGCGAAACCCGCTCAGACTTGTTGGCCACGCTTACGGGTCTGAAAAAAAAATGCAGTAGGGAATAAATTATCCCGTGTTAAGTCACGCGCTTCGTGTTCAGCTCTGTTCTAATATGTTCTGTCCTGTTCTGTTCTGTTCTGTTTCACTTGGCCCGCTATGGAAAGGTTGAGGTTCATATTTCCTCCGCTCCTTCATTTCTATCATTTATGTAGCGAAAAAAAAAAGATTGTTACCTGAAATAAAAAAGTGAGCAACCAAAGCACGCCCTTTAACAAACTGAAACAAGTTAAAGTAACACGGTAACGTAAACTTTGCTTGCAAATGTTCACATTGCTATAAAGCGCTCGCATGCAGGCATTTCTAGTTCTGCCCACATTAGGATGTATACATATAAACTTACACTGGTTATTAAAAAGATGCGCATTCGCTTTGACATGCGTTGGTTTGCAAGGCATCTCGCAGCTGTGTGGACGCTGTGAAAGCCTGTCTTTGCCAATTTATGCTATCAGTCAAGATGGTGAGAAAGAGCATTTATTTCTTGTGCACTGTCTTGCTTACTTGCTTGCCCATGACCGCCAAGAACGCCTCTCGCTCAATGGTTCGTGAGTGACAGTTCGGCTAATGTGCCCAAACAAGTGAAATAACCGGTGTCATTCATTGTTAAGATAGACGAATCAAGAGCATATTTACAAATGTTGCACATAGTTGGAACCGTGTTTGTCAAATGAATACAGGTGGTTTATAAAAATGCTATGACATTCACGCACCCGTCGTTTTTAAACGTGAGCTCAATGTTGAGGTGGAAATACCTTGCCGGAAAGAAAATGACACTGTGGTGACTAAGTATCATGAACTCATTACCTGAAATGTTGTAGGCCCGTGTACTCAGATTTGGGTGCACGTTAAAGAACCCCAGGTGGTCAAAATTTCCGGAGCCCTCCACTACAGCGTCTCTCATAATCATATGGTGGTTTTGGAACGTTAAACCCCGCAAATCAATCAAATCAATCGAACTCATTACCTCTTTACTTATTGACTTGAGCGAAGTTCTTCATGTTAAGAAGCTGTAGTGCGTGATAATTTGTCATATTCTTTTTTTTTCTACAAATGTTGCACATAGATCGGGATATTTGTCATAGAAATACAGCGGTGAACTCAAAAAGTCATCGCGACCGGTTCGCCCAAAGCGTAGCAGAACACCGAAACGACGTGGTACAGAAAAGTGATGAAATTTGAATGAAGGCGCGCTGAAGCAAAAACTGGTCAGAAAAATTGACAGGCGCTCTGAAATACTCAAGTATACTCCGCTTAATGTCTTTATCTGATTCTTCGTCAACTATAAAGTGGCACTAAGGACTGTCTCACCTGTCCTAAAAAAGAAGCACTTCAGTGGCTGCCCGCAAGTATTATGCTTGCCAGAGCAAGAAAAAAAAATTAATATTGCAACTTTCTCGTGCACAGTTGGAAGGAAATGGTGAAGCATCTACAACACAGAGAAAAAAAAAAGAGCCGAACTGATGCACAAGCACAACTGAGAGTACGTACAGCTTTTCACGAAAATATACAACCGTGGTGCACCTCTATTCAAATCTCGTCGCTTTCACGTAACAGCTAGCTCACGTCTGGCGTAACAAAACGGTCACGCTTCATGCGCACCGTTCACGATCAGTTTCTATTTCACCCTTGAAATTCGGTACCGAATATCTCGAACTACGTGCAAAGCCTTTTGATCCCTCAAAAATAGGTACGCCATAAAATTGCACGCGCTACAACTTCGTAATACAAACACCTGTGTAATATAAGGGAATAATAGTTAATGAACGAGTTTTTGTTAAGTCGACGCAAGAGTGTAATTTTAACTAGCAAATTATTTCCTCTTCGACGTGGAGCTCGTGTGACAAAAGTACGTGTGCTACTGTCATAAGATTATTATTTTTTAAACCTGCATTATCTTCAAGAAAAGCCACCCTGCATATAATTCAATCTTGTTTAAATGATGCTCACCTAAATCAATGTGCACTGGTGTTTTTTTTAACTGCCGGAAGTTGCTTTGATTATTATGTGGGGTTTAACGTCCCAAAACCACCATATGATTGTGAGAGACAGCGTAGTGGAGGCTCCGGAAATTTCAACCACCTGGGGTTCTTTAACGTGCACCCAAATCTGAGCACACAGGCCTACAACATTTGCGCCTCCATCGGAAATGCAGCCGCCGCAGCCGGGATTTGATTCCGCGACCTGTGGGTCAGCAGCCGAGTACCTTGGCCACTAGACCACCGCAGCGGGGCTACTGCAGGATGTTGCGAAATCGGGATATAAAAAAAAAAACTTCGAGCAAACAAGTCCCGCAATGCGTGCCATGTTTAATGCCGGCTGTCTAGTACTCACGGGGCATGTAGCTTTCCCCGTGAAAAGTTTAGTGCTGTCTCGTTTAAGGTATTTCAAGCTTGAACTTTTATTTTGGAAATAATGGCGGAGAGCGCAAAGCACGTTCAACAGCTCTCACTTCTTCGTTCTTTTTTTCTCGCCTCGATGACGTAAGTTTAATTTGGTTTATTTGGTGTGTACGCACTCAAGAAGTGGCACACAACATGTTACGTGGTTGTGAAGCACATTTTTGTTGCAATATCATCGCTCCTGTGGTATATTTTAACTGAAGAATAACTTATAGGTTGCTATTTAAAGGTAGAAAATTAAAACAAATTTTATTTTGATCGGCAGTTTTATAATTAAGGCACTAAAGGATTAATTTCACCCCCGTCTTCTTACGCCATTCGTTGCCGGGATTAGAATTATGGAATTGCCCTCTCGTCTACATTTTCGGCAGCGCGAAGCCACTGCCTCTACA